AGAGAGAGAGAGAGAGAGAGAGAAAGAGCGAAAGAGCGAGAGAGCGCGCGCACGTGGGATAGTGAACGAGGGAGAGGGGGAGAAAGGGGCAAAGAGAGCGAATAAGAGGAGATGGATCAAACGGAATAGTATTAATGCGGACATGAGAGAGCATTATTAATATAAAGTGCTGTTTACTCAAACTGGCATTGACCAGTATAACGTAAATATGATCAAGATTACATAATTAACTAACCTGCTAATTGCGTTACTCCCGATAATAATATGTTTGTAACTAAGTTGTATTGACCGTGAATTATATATATATATATATTTATATATATATTTGTACACATCTTTAGCAGATCCTCTCGACGTGTTCTTCACGCGCTGGGTAAGATTCCAAGATCCAATTCCACCCAAGGAGATAACGGCCGGGCCTCATCAGAGCGTGACTATCGAGTGCGTAGCAGGAGGCTCCCCTCCACCCTCCATGTACTGGTTAAAGGTGAGTCCTACTCAGATGCAGTGTCTCCATTACGGATAAAGCTATGTTATGTATATATATATATATATTATAAACTTATTAGGCCCATGTATATAATAATATATGTATTATAAATGTTATACGTATATACATAAATAAAAATATTATATAAATGTAAAAATAATAATGAAGAAAATAAATGAATAAATAAATTTATTAATCAATAAGTTAATATTTATCTATTTATCTTTGTATATATATGAAGTAAATACCTGCACACATGCGTGTATAAGTGCGCGCATGCATGCATGCATGTGCGCTAGTATGCGCGCGCGCTCTCTCTCTCTCTCTCACAACACTATCACACTCTGCTATACTATCTCGCTATCTCTCTCACTCTCTGTCTCTCACTCTCTCTCTCTCTCTCTCTGGTCTCCTTCTCTCTCTCTCTCCTTTCGTCTCCTCTCTCATCCTCTCTCTCTAATATATATATATGATATCAGTAGCTCGGTGTCAATGATGTGTTTCTCGTCTGGCAGAACGGTGAGCGTATTCACCAGGGCGACGAACACAAGGCGAAGATGACGGGAGTCGGTTCGACCAAACTGCGGCTCTTCCTCGATTGCATCACGGAGAAGGATGATGGCATCTACAGCTGTGTCGCTGAGACGCCCTACGAGAGAATCACCACCGACACGAAGCTCACTGTGACAGGTATAAGACCGAGCTACCTAGGTCTGGGCGGAGGCATCTGTTTTTTGCCTCCACCCGGACCCGATCTACATTGGTCTACTAGAGGGGAGGAAGTTGCCTCTCTTGCCTCCACCGGCCCCGCTCTTACCGCTAACTGCGGTCTAGACCCCTCTCCCCTAGCCCTAACCACCGATTCCTTAAACCATCTAATCTACATACCTAACCATAAATCCACTCACTTCCTAACCACTTAACCACCATTCCTAACCCTAATCGATACCCTAACCATAAATCCTACGATTCCTAACCCTAACGCCGCAGTCTCAGAACGCCTGGACCCCAATCCTTAACCCACCAGTTGCTGATCCTAACTTCCCATCCATGTAAGACTCAAACTCAAATTCCATGTCTAACCCTTAACCTAGAATTCCTAATCGCCCTACACCCCATCTCTAACCCACGCTAACCCCATCTCTAACCCATCCCGAACCCTAACCCTTACTCTACCACTATCAGCCAAACTAAGATCCCAAACCCAACGTTAAAATCGGAAACCTCTCGTGGGATGTTCCGTGGCATGGCTGTACGGTAGTCGCCCCGTTCGCGGTAGATCGTGGCTTTTCACACAGCGCAGCCTAGCGTCACGAGGTACAGCGCTATTTTCGAGAAGCGAGAATTTTTTCCACTTTCCATTCGTGCCTCACTCCACGACTATATATATCAGCGACCATGGTTAATAATAGCCGCAAGGTTCTTGTAACTATATATATTAATTCCATTATACACCCCTATATATTAATAATTATATATATATATATACTATTATATATATATATATATATACCTGCACGCAAATCAGATTGTTTATTATCACATATCGCACGTGGGTTTAATGATAGCCCGTTAAGGTTTGTGTGTAACTATATATATATATAGATGTCATCATACACGCCCTGATATATTATATAATATATATACTATATAATAATCTCACGCAACGATTGTTATATCACACCGTGGGTTAATAATAGCCGTAAGGTTTTCTAACTATATATATATATATATAATTGAAAGGTGGCGTGTCAGCTTGCCCTGAGGGCTCGGTGTGTGGCAAATTCCTACAACCTTATAATCGCAATACCGCGATATATGATATACGATATAGGAGTCCGCGATTACGTGACAACGAACGGCTTTTATTATTTCAGAAACAAACGAGGCTTACGAGACAAGCTGCGACATCTCAAAAAGACAGAGCGGTAAGCAATGACGAAGATGTGTCGGTTTAAGAACGTGTGCTATACCTATATACACCCATGTCCATACCTGTATATACCTGTCCTATATACCTGTCCATCTGCACGCGGTCATATGTCTCATAACTGATATACACAGCTAGTGTTCTACGTTGCTTGCCCGTACCCCGATCATTCACTTTACTTCTTCGTTTTACTTCTTCTTACTATAACCGAGCAAACTGGTGTCGAAAGCTTAACGCTTCTCGCGCACGAAAGCGAGTGTTAGGCACAGCATTCCCACGTAAAACGTTACCTAATACTGTGTGCGTGCCGTACCGCCGTGTGTGTGATTACGATAATTATCACCACCCATCGCATCCGCCAATGACTATTCTCCAGCGTCCATTACAACACAACCCCCGTGCACTAATCATAATGAAAGTGCCTATGTATGCGCCACACCGAAGTAATAAATGAATGCAGCCGCGTCGCGTCGCTTTTCCACATCTCACCTATTAGTTACCCTAATAATATAAGCCCCCCCCCCCCACCCCCACAGTATGGCCACTAGGACTATGTCCCACTAATACACGGTGAAAATGCCCACGATTCAGAGCGTGTACACGTTCCGCGCACCTGCGCGGTCCGATGATTACCTAGCAAGACACTCCGCCGTTCTTGTGTTTCGTCAAAACAATAGGCGGCGAAATGAAAACGGGGGGGGGGGGTGTAATAAGATACCATGTTTGCTATAACTATATATTAATTGCCTGCTGTTGGGCACTATGCCTCATAGTGTTGCTGAGGAAGAATAGTGCCCAGAGCGGTACGAAGGGCACTATCCCCGTCCCAAAGGCAACACTATGAGAAAGCATAAGTGCCCCCCAACACGCAGGCATTACAGTTTATTAGTGCATCACAGTGACTTAGGCAATCTACTTTTCATGCGTATCATACCACTTCTTATGACTCCCTCTAATTTGGCCGGTGCATTTCGATTAACAAAACGCTATCGACACAAACACAATCGCCAATAATTCCAAAAATCTTACGTGGCCGCCCAGACGCAGGAGATTCGTGACGTAAACACACGAGATGCGTTATAATAAGGCAATGGCGTCGCGCGAAGCGATAGTGCGCCGTTTGCAAGGCGGTCACTAGTCTCTTCATAATGCCTGCTGCGTATCCAATGAGATTGCAGCGATTCAATCACGTCATGCACTAATGTTCCATAAGCAAATTGTTCTAAATATTTCGTATATGCACGTGGCGCCATGACGACGCCGTGCAAGGGCGGCGAATTATCGTCGTTAAAATGACACGCAAGGACGGGGCGGGTACGCTAGCATATATTGGAGCTGCGGAAGCTCACA